TTTTTGTGCGGTTTACTTTTTGTATATTGGCGGAGATGATTAACCGCACTATACGAGGTATTGCTGTATTGCCAAATTGATATAACTTAAATTATATACAAGTATCCGTTGTACGCAATGATGTTTTTTTAAATATTATTTCATTACATTAAATAAGAGAATGAGACTGGTGCAGACCATTGCAATTTAGTGGAAGTCAAGTCCATTCTACTGTATTTCCTTTTAATATCGCCGACTCTAAAAGTATAGGAAGGATACAAAAAGAATTGTACACGACGAGCTGAAGCGAATAAGTCGAGCGGTAGAGACAGATGGCGGGTTAATCTCGCGTCAAGTTTTTCACATTTTTTTTTATGTGTGTTTGTCTGCATGCAAATAAAACTTCTAACCAGTGACAGTCTTATCCGATATCGACTTCGTACTTTTATCTCTCGGCTTTTCACCACCCCCGCCGTCCCATTATTATTTCATCCATTTTAATTCATACAAACAGACCGAGTTACGTAAAAAGTACGTGTCTGTATGGGTATTTGCGTCCACGTGTTTGTGTGTGGGAGTGTATGATAACTTAACGAGTTTACTTCCAACGCTTTCCACCCCCAACCATTTTGCAATGATTAAATTACAATTTACACATTTTATAAACACTGCGTCAAATGGATCGAAACAAACTCGATTATAATATATACGTTGAAAAATTAACGTTCGGAATAATTAATTGAAAATATTCGTTATTTATGCGTTTTCGTTGACTGCAATTAACTAATGGAAGTTTTTTCATTACATACAAAAAAAATATTGTTGATGTTCATGTGTTTTTGATTTATAAATTAAAGCTATTTAAAAAATGATAGATCAATATAATTGATATTTTTTTGGTTAATATAAAATAAGTAATTTTATAGAATTTTTGTATTTTAAGATAAGATTAGTAGAATATTAGTAGAATGTTTTAAATTTTCTTAATTATGAGATTTAATTATAAAATATTTAAGTCCCTATCAAGCATTTTCATTTATTTTTGGTGGAATTCATTTTAAATTAAAATATGAAAATTGCTTAATTGTGATTATAATTGATTTTTTATGTCGTGTAATTTTATTCACAATCTGTTCATCAATGTGAACAATGAGTAAATTTAAGAACGCGGTTGACATTCAATGGATAATCTTTCCCGGAGGATAGTTACCATTATGATGTTTTGATTTTATTTGTTGATTGACTGTCGTCTTGTATAACTTCAGTAGTATATTGATGCTCTGCGTTTTCACTATTTCCTTTGACTGTGAATCTGCTGCTATCCTTAATACTGCATTGTTCATCGACTTGGCTGAAGGTCCATATGCTAAACCTCATTCATTTCACTGTCCATCTGTGATGAACGATGGCCCTATTGCTGCAAGCACCGAGAGGGTTCACAAAGGGCCTGGCTTGACCAGGATTTGAACCTGTGCCCACTAGCACTGTGTTTTTTTTTATTTATAGAAATATGTAAACATTTCAATATACTTTCTAATATGTTTTTTAGTAATAAAATGTGATGCTTATGCTTCAATGATTATGGTTGCCTGTATCATAAAATCTGATATGAAAGGTGACATGTTCGAATATCACCAACAATAAAATTCATTGTGTGATCGATAAGAACCAAAAGGGTGGCTTAAATAAAGTCGTATAAAAAGTATAAAATTTGATGCACGAATAAAATTCATAGTTGTTAATTGACCTTTTAGTCAAAAAAATGTTTCTTTGTAATTATTTGGTAAATGTCGGAAAAATTACTGTCAATATCTTTTTGTCTGTATATATGCAACAAATTTTGCTTTATTATTTGTGTAATTATGATTGTTGCAATATATTAAGAAATAATTGCAATTTTATATTTCAATTAGAAGTTAATTACGTAACAGTTCTTCCTTTTACTTTATAATGTATAAATATAAAAAATAGATGTAAAGATTGTCAAAAGGTATAATTAACATTCGAACATTTGACGAATTTAAAGTTGTTAAAACATAAAATCAATCGGAATAATTAACGTTTTTCTAGCAATTAACTAATGGAATTCATTTAATGATGATATCAATTATATTATAAATGTAAGATAATGTAGTTCAATTTGTATAATAATTGAAAATGTTATTATAGGTACATTTGCTAGTAATTAACTAATGAAATCAATTTGTTAATTGCAGACATTTTATGTAATTGAAATTATTGAATCTTGTCGAAATATAAATCATAAATCAAAATTATCATCATTTTAAATACAAATAATAATAGAAGTTCAAAAAATGATGTAACTTTATATTAAATTTTAATCAATAATTCATTATTTACATAACAATTTATATCATTTAGAAAATTTCCATCAAGTTGATTAAAACAAAATTCTAATTTTATAATATGTACATAAAACTCATTAATCAATCGATTGTTGTTAATTAATTTGTTAAGTAATTTGATTGATATATGTGAGTCTGATTAGACAATGAACGCTGCAAATTTCGCAAGTAATGTTACTTCTATTAATACAATTTATTTACCTGTAGTGTTGAAATTGTCATTTAGTTTTTGCTAGAAATATGTGTACCTCTCTATTAAATTTTAATTTAAATCAAAATGTTATAGAGTATAACATTGCTCATATGTCCCTTTTCCGAATTAATATTTAACTCAAAAACAGTCACTCCGTCTCTTGCATACATTTAAAACTTTCGTTGCCACCACGTTTGTATTTCTAGTGGTATACGTGACCCCGTTAATGTTGTACATATAATCAAATATTTAAACACCCTTACTTTGTGTGTGCAATATTCCATTTCCCTGTGCATTTTCTACATATAATTTCAATTACTTTCTTTATAAAATGCATAGAAAAATAGAAACTTTCTTTTAACTTATTTTGCGCGGTATTACACTAAACTCTTGATATTATTTAAATATCAACATATAAATGAAATTAGATTTTTAATAAAATCGTTCAAATTCTGGCCGATTTTTTTTTATTATTTATCTCTTTGCTGTTACATAACTTTTTTCCTGTAATTTGTAATAAAAATGCCTTCAATGGATTTTTGATCTACAGTGTGGCTCAATTGAACTGCAACCAACTTAAAACTGCTATAACTTTTGAACCGTTGGAAATGTTGTGTCCATATTTCGCCTAACGATAACTGATTTTATTGTTTACAAGCCTGCGGAAGCATATGCATCTTAGTTCGTTTAGAAAAAAATATCTGTGATGGAATTCAAACGTAATAATGTGATAGCCCAATATTTGAGCGGAAAACCAAAAGTAGATATTGTTAAGATCAAACAAAAATTTAGACTTCTCTTCACATCGTCACTCTTTATGCGAAACGTCGCTCGTTAAGTTAGTAATTTTTCTTACAATTCACTTTGCTCTTTAAGCGAGGTTTCACTGTACATTTAAAAAAATCTTTACCTTCAATACTTTGAATTATTTAATATTTTTGTGTATTATAACAAATTGTTGATGAATTTAACACTTTTCATATGAAAACGCATTAAATCATAATTAGATACAGACAACATAAATTTCTATGCATTATTTCGACATCGGAGGTGTTTTTAAATCAATTTTATAAGCGGTTTGCACTTGAAATCTGTCACGAACATAAATATAATAATAAATTCACCGCCATATTCCTTATGGAATCGACTTCTATTTATTATGCAATATCGTTTCAGTGGTTCACAAGGAAAACAATAATCTAAAGTGGTTATTTCTACATTTTTCTTTAATATATTTCTATAAAGGTGTACACTTTTCAAATCTGCTAATGGAAGACATATAGCGATGCATACATTTCAAGTAAATGTAATATCGATTTGGCACATCCATTTAATCTTATACTTTTATAGAATATGATAATAAGATTTATTGTTTCAGGTGTTTACATAACAGACAACAATTGTATAAATTTATATAGTCAGAAAGAAAGACAATTCATCAATTTTATGTAATTATTTACATAATTAATTAATCCATTTCAATTTGATACTTAACATTGACATCGCATTGAATGCGATTTTTATAAAGTTTTTTTTTTATAAATTTTATCATAAACTTATTTTATATTAAATTGAAAATCGTAAGTTTCTGTACAAATATTATTATTTTTGAGTAATGAATATGAAACAAAGCTTAATTATAATTTGGAGGAATTAATTTTTTTAAGGAAAATATATATAAACATATTTGTTTTTAAGTGCATTTCAATTGTGGAAAGTAAAAGTCAAAGTAAATCTATTTGCATATAATTAATCAATTTTATAATCCATAGATAATATTTATTTAAAAAAAAGTATATAATTATTGGCTATATGATATCAATTATGACTCATTTAATATTATAGATTATTCAATAATTCATAAGTATGTTTTGTATTTCAAATGATTTCTTTAATAATGTATGTGTTTTGTGTTGTTATTAGAATTATTGCAGAATCAATTATTGAAAAAGAAATAAAATAATAATATTTATAAAAAAAATAACCCTTTCATACCCATTGACGTGTTCCAGACGTCTAAAGTTTATTTTACAATTTTCAATTGATTCAATTGATTGAAATAATAAGTAATAAAGTTTAAAATCTGTAAAATTCTAAAGAAATAAATAATTCTGACGATAAGTGTTTTTCAAGTAAAAGTTTTGAAGTTATATGTAAAAGTTGTTAGTAAACGAGTAAACTATTTATTCACAAGTGATAAAACAAATTCATGAAACACTTTGAAAGAATTGAATTGGATCATAATAATTTTGAAAAAAAAAGTCTTTTCGGAATGATAGTAAAAGAAACAAATATATATGAAGCAAAGTCAGTAGTGTGGAATTATTTACTAATGAAATAATTATTAAATGCTAAAGGAACTATACAAAATGTATGTGAAAGGGTTGAATGAATAAAAGTAAAAATAAATATATATTCTGCTTTTGGATGTTTATGTAATAATGTTCTATATTTTGTTTCAGGTGTCTTGCAAAGATATAGTGATGTAAAGTGCGTCTAAACCGATCCGAAATATAAATCTATAATATAAAGGCGGACAGCGCTTCAGTTAGATAACCATAGGTGAAGATTTCGAGAAATACTTCAACATGTTGCCGACGAACGTGATGTCCTTCATGAAGAAGGTAAGCTTTTCCCGTCTTTATTATACGTCATCGTCATCGTTTTTATATCACTTTTCCCTGCGATTTAAGTCTATTATTCAGGCCGTGCTTTTCCTCGGTTAGGCTAATTGTTATTTATGGCAAAGAGTAGAAAGAAGCGAAGCAAAAAGGACAGCACCGTCGCCACGTAATACCCGTTGGGGGATTAATCATGCCGGGAAAGTTGTTTGCACCCTCTTCTCCTACTATATATATATTTTTTTCTTCATCATCTTCGCTATTTAGGTATTCCGCACACGCAACCGCCTAACTTCATTACGTTTCGTATTGATTCGTCCCCGAAAGATTGTCGCCGTCCACAAGAATTCATCAACGCATCTCATCCGCGTTTAATTATTAACGCCAATTCCGCTGAATTCCGACAACGCCGGAATTCGCGTTGCGAAGATTTAAAGAGATTTCAACCATTGTGCCTGCTTTTTGGCGTTTCGAAATGCTCGCCTCTCCACCCACCCTTTCACCATTCCATATGGAACGGCCATTAACATCCCCCCCTCGGGCCCTGGGATTGTTCCAACTATAAATTTTTGCAATACATCAACCGCCGAGCTTTCCCACAACAATGATAAAACATTTTGTTGTGGGAATACGGCGTATCTATATGTACGCTTATGGAAAGGGGATGGGAGAGAGAGAGAGAAAAACAGAGGCGGAATGCAAATACAGACGAGAATTTGATGATTCTGGACTTTATGCCAGACGATCCATTGTTCCGAATGCGAGTAATATATAAATACACATTTGTTGTCGCATTTTATTACTGGGTTTTCTTTTTTTTTCTTTATTGTTCTGTTGTGTGAGCTTTGTTGCGCTCACTTGTAACCGCGAATTTTCGGCGTTATTTTTAATATTAGAGAAAGGACGCAGCGAAAATAAATATAGCGTGTACAGCCGGCAGTTGCGTAACGCTGTACTTCCACTGATTAAAAAAGTTTATGTAAGACCCTCGTTTCTTTACAATTACATCATAGGATGCATAAAACATCTCTGTTTTATTCTACTTCTATACACGTAACATTAAATTAGTTAATAATACAAATTTCACATCATATTTTAATAGAATATACTTGTAATTTACGTTAATAAAATCATTAATAATATTTATTGTAAGTGTTATACATAAATAAATTAAAATGAAAAAGATACAATCGTCTATTGACCATAGGTTTTTTTTTGCTCTAAAAATATAACTGACGCGTAAATTAAAGACAAGTAGTACCTATGGGTCAAAATTGCTGAACTTGAATTCTTATTTCCCAATGGTGAGGATTCATATATAACTCCAACGATATGTAATATATAATGAAATAAGGCTATTGGTCATTTTTCATCAGGTACATCAGTTTTTTTTGTATTTTCATTCAACGTATTAGTGTGGTGCATAATGGATGTCAGTATTACTGATTTTCCTAGTTTTGATACATGGCAAACCAAAGTTATTCTACTTTGAAATTCAAATATTGATGATATTTCAAGAACGGCTATATTAATAAAATACTTTTAGTTTCATATCATTTACAATACATTTCAGTTGATTAACAATTATTCTTGAAATAGGATCATTTTTATTTCACTGCATTAATAAGTTGCTAACTTTAAGGTCGAAATTACAAATATATTATGTAATTATAATAATATTACATTTGTGTATAGAAAATTGTAAATATATTATTGAACTTCTTTATTTGCGACAATTATAACCAAAGGGTTAACGGCTTTAATATAATAAAATTATTTAAAATATAAGAAAATGATTATTTATCGTTTGCAGACGCGTGTGTTTTTATGAAACAAAATTTGCCCGTTCTATGCTAATATCAAACGTAATAAAGAGTGATGAATAAAGTATGAATAAGAAGAGAACAAACTTAATTATATATATATAAGTTAATAAAGATGTAAATGAATGAGGTCATGAATAATTTGAATGCGAATACTAAAAAAAAATTTTTTTTCAACAATATTTTTAATGAGATTTTAGACGAAAGCAAATTTCTGTTCGTATTATTATAATTATTAATTAAATATACGTTTGGCGTAGAGGACATGAAACGGGTTTAACATTATTTAATACTGCTATAATTAGCATTTTGCGAATTCCTATAATTTGCATTTAATATAATTATTTTGATGTAGACTGCAACAAAACAAAATGTAACTAAATACGTTGCATTCTATTTATATTAATTTTTGGGCGGAATATTTATAAATGAAAAGGCAATGGAATTTCATCTCATTTCAATAACGTAATATGTTGTTGATAATAAACGTTATTGTATGTTTCAAATTTTAATGTCAATCAAGTGAAATGTAATAATTAATGATACACAAATATGTTAATTATTGAGTATAATAATAATAATCGATTATTTTATAAAGTATTTATTAAATGAACTTGATCATAGTTTTTCACATTTAATTATCAAGCATCCTTTGACATATCAATTTTTTAATATAGAATAATTTACTTTAGTATTAATCACTCTTTTATTTCATTGTTCTTATCAATTATTATTACCAACTGATCCAATAACACGCGGATTCTTTGGATTCAAAACAATTGTATTGTGTGTTTCGTGGACAGAAGCCATAAGTGTCAAAACATGACTGCTGTGTTTTATTCTGAAATGCTTACACGAGTACAAGCATTACTAATCCAGCTTTCTTTGATCAATCGCAAAAGTGACCCTTTTCTTAGATCTTGACAAACTCTATCAGGCATAGGCAGTTCAAAACTCGAGTTGATATAATAAATTCTGTTGGTCATTTTTTTTTAATTCAAAATCAGTGGATTTCTACCACAACGGCATTTAAACATTGACGTCACGTTGGCTTAAGGTTAGTGAGTGTAATGGTAATTATTTCGATGAACTACTGGTTTCTAATATTTTTTTATATTCTACCATCAAAAATTGCACAAACATTTTTGGTTCGTGTCCCAAATTGGAGGCGTTGAGCTTAGTTTCGAATTATTAGTTTAATATCCAGAAAAAATAATTAATTATTTATAGCATGTATTTTTTAGGGAAAGTGTTCATACGAAAGTGTTGAAGTTATATTCAAAAAGATTTGTTATCCAGCAGTGAAATTATGGAAGAAATAGTTTTTTAATTTATTTATATACAAATATTTACATTGTACTTAACTGGTTTACCTTCAATTCGATCTGTATTTTTTGAATTATTGACTTTTTCCTTATATATATCAATAATTATATTGTAGATCGTGAGTGGTTTGTGTATTCGCTCTATATGTTTGTTCATACTTATCGGAAGATCCTCCGTTTGTACATTTTGAATTTTAATGATTACCTTTTGTAGTTCTTTTGTTGATTGATATGTTTTGTGAGCGCACGTCCAGATAGTGTGATCCTTTTCCCACAATTCTGACACTTTTGTACCAAGTCTGTGGTTCATGTTGTATTGGGAGATTCAACCTACTGCAAACCTTGGTATCAAAACTTTGATTTTAAGAAGATTAGCGTCAAAGGTTTGTGCTCTCAAACAAGTACTGAATGATGATTTTTATGAATGGCATTAAAAGAAATATATAGATGTGCATCAAAGAAAGTATTTAGTATTCCTTCAGTTTCTAATGAAAATGCTGAAGAAACGTAGAAATGTTAACTAAAAAACTAATATTTCATTCATATGTCAATGGTTAAAATTAAATAATTGAAACAAATATTATGATATAAAAAATGTATAATAAACTCTGTGAGTATGCCATGATATGTTGATAAATAAACTTGTTTGTTTCACGCATTTAGCGAGGTTTAGAGAAAAAGTCGCAGCAAATTTATCGGTCTGCGAAATAAAAAAAAATAAAACAAATAAAAAAAACCAATTGCCAACGCAACATAACAAACTTAATTTATATGTTACGTAGGTCGGCCCTTTGCACCCTGGATTTATTTTCGTAACGTATATGCGGCGTGTTGCACGATTTCAGTAATAAATAAAATGGTGAGTTTTGTTTCAGCTTTTGTATTTTCCTTTTCCACACTTTTATTTCTGTATGTTTTTTTGTTTCTTGTGTTGTTGTTGTTGCTGCTGGTTTTGTGCGGCCCTTTTGCAGCCACCAACCTAAGGCCATTAAACCGCCGGATTGCCACAATAAACTAGGGACCTGGCACTACAATGCTTGAATACTATACGCTACGCGAGTTTTTTTTTAAATAGCCCGCCATAAAACCGCAATTTAATTTCACCGCTGGCAATAACTTAATTGGTTTATCAAGCTTCGTTTTTTTTTTAATCCGCATTTTCCTTCTGCATTAACCATATTTTATGTGCACTTTCGGACGGCGGCAATCCTTAATTGCGTGGATTACGTTTATCGGATCGGGTTTAAAATCAGCCACGAAGAGGAAAACATGCTACTAATGCATTTTTATTAGATAATCAATTGCGTGTTTATATCGATTTTATAATATACTCAGATATCAAAAAGTCGGTGCTGTAAGAAAGTGCATTTTCATAAGCAATAAAAGTTAATACTAACATGATAAAGTTATTGCATAATATCTATAGTTTGGAGTTACAGAGAATTAGTACAATTACTTAGTGTACAAATTTATGACACAAAAGATATTTATACAAAACATATGGAAAAACTCTTAATCAATAAGAAATAAGTGTTGTGTTTATAAACAATAAAAGTTAATTCTAAACCGGTAAAGTTATTGCATAATACATATCATTTGGAGTTACAGAGAATTAGTACAATTGTCAAATACTTAGTGTACAAATTAGGTGTTTTGTATGAATATATTTATGTTAGTATTACTAATGTTACGTAACACCAATTGAAATACATAATTCTTAAAATATGATTATTGGCTTTATATTTGGGCCAATTTCTTAATTTACTATATTAGTTTAAACATTATGAGGAATCGCTCGAGGAATAATTATTGATTCTAAAAATTTTACAACAATCTCTGTATATATTATGATATT